ATATCAGTAGTTGTTTAGGATCTGAGGTTGGGATGGGGAATAATAGCTACTGGGCCTGAAGCTTCTTTTAAATATTTTAAAGTCACATTGTAATGATTATAAATATAATTAAAATATTGAATTGCATAATGTGTGAATTACACCTTAGTAAAGCTTTTCTTAAAAATGAAATATAGAGAGTATTTATATCAGGTTTTAGACTAAGGATATTTTTCTGGAATAAGAGAGGCATTTCAAAATAATAAAGGGAGTTCATCAAGGAAATTTAATCCTAAATGTGTATGTATCCAGAAACAGAACTTTAACAGTCTATGGGAAACTGAATCCTAAGTGAACTTGGAAGCATGATTCTGTTCTCAACTGAGACTTCATATGAAACTACAGCTCCAGCTAACAGGTTGACTGCAACCTGATGAGAGACTTTGAAACACTGGCACCTAGCTAAGCCAAGCTGGATTCTTGACCCACAAATACTGTAATAATAAAGTTTGGGTTTCTTTAAATTTTTTTTGATGGACCTTTACTTTGTTCGTTTATTTATATGTGATGCTTCACACATGCCAGGCAAGCGCTCTACCACTGAGCCACAATCCCAGCTCCACAAGTTTTGTTATTTTTAAGCCACTAAATTCTGGAAGTAATTTGGGTTTATCTCAGGAAAGCAACATTGGGTTATCATCTAAACATTAATAAATGTAATTCAAACCATTAACAGAAAAGAGGAGAAAAACCACATGATCTACTCAATATATGCAGAAAAAGTAAATGATTCAAAAACCAATGAACTACCTCCCTCTTAGCAAACCTGGATTAGAAAGGAATTTCATCTACCTGATAAAGAGCATTTACCAAAAAACCTATACCTAAGACATTTTGATGGTAAAAATCTGAATATGTTTCCATAAGATCATAAATAAGACAAAAATGTCCTCTCTCACTGCTACTATTCATTCAACATTACTGGCAATCCTATCCAGTGCCAATAAAGCAACATAAGAAACAAAAGATCCGGATAGGAAAAGGAAAATAAAAAAGATTTATATTGTGTACATATATAAAAAATCCTAAGGAATCTTTAAAAAAGGCTGTTGTAGGATCAAAATGTCAAAAGTATGTTTGTATATACTATCAATGAAAATGAAAACTGTTATTTTCAAGATATTTGTAAAATTAATGAAAACTACAAAACATTGTTGAGAGGCATTAAAGAAAGTCAAAATAAATTAAAATATATACTATGGCTGTGTATTGAAAGATTCAATTTTAAGATGGCAATTCTTCCCAAATTTGATTAAAAAATTCAAAGCAATTCTAACTAAAATCTAGCTAGCCTCTTTAGAAATCAACAGGTTATTTTAAAATTTCTATGAAAATGCGAAAAACCTCAAACAGTCAAAATAACTTTGAAAAAGAACACAGTTGGAAAATTTATATAATGTGATTTTAAAACTTACCTTTAAACTACAGAAATCAAGACTCTGGTACTATAATAAAAATAAATATATAGTAGAATGAATTAGACATAACTTTCCTATGTTCATACATGAATATATGATCAGTGTAACTCTACATTATGTACAACCACAGAATGGGAAGTTATATTCCCTGTATATATTATATGTCAAAATACATTCTACTGTCATGTATAACTAAAAAGAACAACAACAAAAAAGCTCAAACTGCAGGGGAGGATGACAAGCTGCATGTTTTCACAGAAGAAGAAACTGGGACTGTTTTCTTATAGCTTTAGACTGAAGCAACTGCAGTTATAGTTGTTCCTCCGTATCTGTGGGGCATATTCCAAGATATTCCTCAGATGCAGAAACTGCAGATAACGCTGAATCCCACAGACATTTTCCGCCATACTAATAATAAAGTTTAATTTATAAATTAGGCACAGTAAGGGATTAACAATAACAAATAATAATAAAATGGAATGATTGTCAAAATATACATATAGATCAATGGAAAAGAATAGACTAAGAAATAGACAAGAAACACAAATACAGACAGTGATTTTCAACAAACATGCCAAGATAGTTTAACAGGGAAAATATAATATTTTCAATAAACAACGATGGGATAGCTAGATATGCATATGGAAACAACAACAACAACAAAAAAAATCAAACCATGGTCCATATCCTATTCCACATGAAAAAGTTAATTTATGATTGATCATAGACCTAAATGTAAAAACCATAACTATAAAACCTTTAGAAGAAAACGTAGAAGCAAATATTTATGATCACAGGGTAGGAAAATATTTCTTAGGACACAAAAAGCATGACTCTGCAAGAAAAAAATTGATAAGGTAAAATTCATTATAATTTAAAATGTTTGCTCCTTAAAATGCATCATTGCAAAAATGAAGAGTCCAAGTCATAAGCTAGAAGAAAATACTTGCAAAATATATTTCAGATTATAAAACTTTACCCAGCATATATAAAGAACCTTTAAAACTCAACAATAAGAATTATTATAATACCACCCAATAATATAGAGCCATTATAGTTCAACAATAACATTTTTTAAATCCAATTTAAAATGTGGAAACTATCAGAACACATTAACTTTAAAAAGATACACAGACGAAAAATAACACATTAAAGATACTCAACACCCTCAGTCATCAGAAAAATGATAATTACAACCACAATGAGATTCCAATGTGCACATAACAAACTGACTAAAATTAAAAAGACTGACAAAGATTGGAAAGGATGTGACAGAACTGGAACTCTGTGGTAAGACTGTAATTGGTATAATTGCTTTGAAAAAAAAAACTAGCAGTTCCTTCAAAAGTTAAAGATACAATACCCATACCATTCAGCAATCCAAATCCCAGAAGAGAACTGAAAACATTATGTTCACACAAAGACTTACACACAAAAAACAGTAGTAACTTTATTCATAATAACCAAAAACTTGGAAATGACCCAAATGTTCATCAAAAGATGAATAACTAAACAAATCATATATCCATAAGAGTTAAATACTACTCAAAAACAAGGATACAGGTAACACAGAAAAATTTCAAAAAAATATGTTAATAAAAGCAACCAGTCTCAAAAAAGTATGTACATACCATTCTATTTATGTGAAACTTTAGAAAAGAAAGATATAAAGTAATAGCTGTTGCCTGAGGTCTGCATGGAAAAAACTGACCAGGATAGAACACAAGAAAACTTTCTGAAGTAGTGAAAATGTTATATATCTTGGTTCTGGTAATGGTTACATGGGTGTGTAAATTTCCCATTATTCATGTAACTGTACAATTAAAATAAATACATTTTATTGTATGGAAACTTAACCTCAATAAAGTTGATTTTTAAAAAGTTATTCATTCTTGAAATTAATGAAGGATAGAAAAGGGAATGAATTGATGAATAAATGTGTGGGTAAGCAAATACAGTAAAATGCTAAAATCTAGGTGGTATTCCTTATAAAATTCCTTCAACTTTTCTAAATGTTTAAAATTTTCTTATTCTAAAATATTATAATAATTAAAATTTATAAATTGTACATTAAAAATAGAGGGCTGGGGGCCAGGGGTTGTAGCTCAGTGGCAAAGTGCTTGCCTAGCATGTATGAGGCACTGGGTTCGATTCTCAGCATCACATATAAATAAATAAAATATAGGTCCATCAACAACTAAAAAAAAAAAAGTGGCAGAATGCTTGCCTGGCATATAGAAGGCTCCAGGTTCAATCCCTAGTACCACAAACAAAAAAAAAAAAAAAAAAGAAAAAATACAAGCTAAACAGTCAGTAGAGAGAAGATGAAGAAATAAGAAAAATAAGCTCAGTTTTAACCAACAGAATAAGGTCCATTGAGGAGATAGGAATCTTTTCTATGCAGTTGTTTTTCCCCCATTGCTGCTAGAGTTCCTAAAGCTCAAATCCAAGTACATTACTTCCATGGCTAAAAACTTTCAGAACAAAGTCCAAAGTCTTGATCAAGAGTTTCCCAGGGGCTGGTGTTGTGGCTCAGTGGTAGAGCACTTACCTAGCACATGTGAGGCGCTGGGTTCTATCCTCAGCACCACATAAAAATAAATAAATAAAATAAAGGTATTGTGTTCAACTAAAAAAAATTGACAAAGATGTTGTGTCCGCCAATAACTAAAAATAAATAAATAAATATTAAAAAAAAAATTTGGATTACAAAAACAGAAACATTTCATATTGGGCTGGGGATGTGGCTCAAGCGGTAGCATGCTCACCTGGCATGCGTGCGGCCCGGGTTCGATCCTCAGCACCACATACAAAGATGTTGTGTCCACCGAAAATTAAAAAAAATAAATATTGAAATTCATTCTCTCTCTCTCTCTCTCTCTCTCTCTCTCTCTCAAAAAAAAAAAAAGTTTAAAAAAAATTGAAAAGAAAAAAGAATTTCCCATGTGACTCCAACCTACATTTCCAACCTCATCATATTCTAAATCTGCCACATACAGTATTCCTGTTGCCCATTTTTTCATTATTTTTATTTATTTGATGTTCTTTAAAAACCTTTGAACACTTTAGGTCTTTATTCATGCTTTACCCTCTTCCTTCTGCATCTAACATCTACTTCAAAGCTTAGCTCACTTTTCATTTCTTTTATGAATCCTTCAATTTTCCAAAACAAAAGCAATCATTCCTTCTTCTGTATTTCTACCATACTTTGACCATCTCTTCCTTCCAGTATTTATCTTATGTCATACTAGTTCTTTCTATATCAGGATTTCAAGCCAGATTTAAGCTCCTGAAGAAAGTATTTATGTATTATTTATTTCTGAATCACCAAAATCTTAGGAGGTATCTGAATATGATAGGGATTTTTTTTGTTAAAATAATGAATGAGTAAATGAGTAACTAAGAAAAAAAACACTAACCAATTAGTTTATTAAAATGGTGTTTAAAATAAAAATTCTATTTAACTTAATTAAAACATCTAGACCTAGAATAATTTAAAGAGAAATTCAAAAAGCATCAACAAAAAACAGAATTACTACTTACCTCTGTGTATTCATCAAAAGTATGATCTTCTGCCTGAAAATTCTGTATCACCTTAACTGCAGTACCATCAAGGAGCCAATTATATTTTTCAACTGAAAATTAATAAGCCAATTAAAATCTTGATAATATTCTTTTAAAAAGGTAAAGTGCTTCTTTATATGATCATAAAATAGGGTAGACTACTCATATACTATTATTAATATACTATGCGTATACATAGATTTCTGAATTTAAAAGAATGGATAGAATAAAATAAAAGACTTAATAAGCAAATGAAGTTAAGTATATTTTTTAATAAGGGCAACAGAGTATTTGAGGCTTTTAAAATAACTTAGTGATATAAATGATACCAGTAAATAATAGACTGCCAAATGACAATTATCTATCTGACCTCAAACAAACTTAGGGAAACTACACACCAATAAAATTTTCCCCCAGGCTTTTTAAAACTGTTTTCAAGAATTACCTTGGTTTTACCCTTGATTTAGCTTCCTCCTTATTTAAATAAAGGCATTTTGTCTATCTGTAACTAAAAAAAAATTTTTTTAAATGGAGGGGCTGGGGTTGTGGCTCAGTAGTAGAGCGCTTGCCTCATATGCATGGAGCACTGGGTTCTCTTCTTCTGTTAACATTCATCATTTATACCAGGCAATAAAATTCAAATTTGGGAGGTTTGATCCTTGACTCTTGTCAAAAGCAGTAACTATGCTCAGTTCTGGCTCTTCCTTAACAACCCTGGATAACCAAATATCCAATCAAATTGTAGTTAAAATGAAGACACATAATATTAAATATTTCAAATATACCATATGTCTCATGATGTTTCCTTGCACCTTGTAAGTTCTGATGTATTGCCACCTTCAGTGTATTAAGAGCCCACTGTAACACATGTTCAGGAAGTTCTGTGTCAAGATTTACAGGTGTTGAAGTTCCTGATAGCCAAGAGGGTACTGTTTGGATATTCTAATACAAATACAAATTAAAACATATGTACTAATTATATGTACAATTGATCCATATGGAGATTTTATTCTATATTTTTAAAAATTCTGATTTCCATGGTCCAAGGAAAAATAACTCAATGCAAAGTAATAATTTAAAAGTGACAATAGCATGCAATCCAATATAAAAACTTAAGTTGGGTTAGTTTTACATCATTCCACAAATATTTATTTATTATAATGTCAATGTGATTACATAGACAGCTCTAGAAATTAGATCTTGTTCTTAAGAAGTTCACAATTCAGTCAGGTATGGCAGCACACACCTGTAATTCTAGGGATTTGGGAGGCTGAGGCATGAGGACTGCAAGTTCGAAGTCAGCCTCAGCAACTTATCAAGGTCCTGTCTCAAAATAAAAAGGGTTTGGGATGTAGTCCAGTGGTAAAATGCCCCTGAGTTAAATTCCCAGGGCCAAAAAAAAAAAAAAAACAAAAACTCACTATTCAGTAGGGGAAATGAGACCTGCACAAAAATTCAGTTCATAACTATAAGAAAAAACTCAAACAAGGATAATGTCCGTTTCAACCAGGAGACATTTTCAGAGAAAGCACTTTCTAATTTAAAATAACTTGTGGGGGTATGGGGTTGTAGCTCAGTGGTAGAGCACTTGCCTAGCACATGTGAGGCACAGGATTCAATCCTTAGCACCATATAAAAATAAATAAATAAGAAAAAGGCATTGAGTCCATCTACAGCTAAAAATATTAAAAAATAAAATAATTAAGGGAAGAAAATAAAACAAAGTTAAAGCACTTTATGCATATAAACACTTCATAAAGATTCAACTCAAATAATTTAAAATTCCTAAATAGAGCTATATAAAGAAACCTGATAGGTAAGGATGATGTAATACCTGCAGAGTTTCAGCTATTCGTTCTACCACACTCAGAACAACATCTTCCAAATCTTGAAAGGTAGGATAAAACTCCATTTTATCCTCATCAAATGTCAATTCCATCTTAAATATTGGCAATCTTTGTTGATTTTCTGAATCAAACAGTTCTACAAATGCTTTTACAGTCCTTACTAAGAGATCCTTTAGCTGCATGATATTATAAATTACTATTAATTTAGAAAGTACAAAAATCAATCTTTAATTAAAATCATTAAATTATTTTACATAATTAAATCACTATAATCTATAAGTCTTGGAATTACCATTCAGCAAATATATTTTTAATAAATAGTCTAAGATAATAAACAGAACAATATATGCAAACCACATTTTTCTTTACATATTTTTAGTTGTCAATGGACCTTTATTTTTTTTTACTTATTTATATGTGATGCTGAGGTTCGAACCAGTCCCTTACAAATACAAGGCAAGCACTCTGCCACTGAGCTACAGTCCCAGCCCTGCAAACCATACTTTTAAATAGAATATCAACAATCTGAAAATGGCAACAGAGAATTTTCCAAATTCTTTAGTAAGTCTGTCCCTGGCACATAAAACATTCCAGAAGATCAAATAACATGGTAAATACTGGGCATAAGGCAGGACTGACCCTTAAAGGTGAGTGTTGTAACAGCGTGGCATGCACATGAGAAGTGGTGTGCTAGAGCTCCTGTTTTTACAAAAGCCAATTATTAAATATTCAAGAATCATGGGAGCCAGTTATTAAACACTAAGAAACTAGAAATTATGGTGAGAATATTTACACCACAGAAATCATCAAACACCAGAACTTAGGTGGTTATTTTCTCTGGAGAGCCAGATGTCTAGCACACTTGTTAGGTGAAGTCGAAGCCACTGGAACTTGGTATTTTTTAATTTTTTTTTTTGGAACTTGGTATTTACACAATATATTTCTAAGTATAAAAAATTCAATCTTATAGAGAACCAACTGTTGGAAATGTAGCCCAACAGACAAATATAAATTGAAATGATCTTCAAAATGTGCATTTCTTTACTGTTCACCAAATAATTAGTCCCTTTAAGAGAGTAAAGGTGGAAAGGAAACCATATATATTAGTTACAGTAATACATACAAATATTAAACATATATATTATCCTCTTAAAGAAACAATACAAAATTCATAGAATCTTTAGATATCTTTACCAAAAGAGAAAGTTTTTAATCAAAACTGTTTTTCTAGGATTGTTATGTTTACAGTCATAAAAATTTGAGGAGCCTATAAACATAATTGTTTGAAGTTAATGTTCTCTGTCATTCAAAGATGATAAATAGCTGAGTTCAGTAGCACATGCATGTAATCCCAGTAACTCAAGAGGCTGAGACAGGAGAATCACAAGTTCCAGGCCAGCATCAGCAACATAGTGAGACCCTCTCTCAAAGTAAAAAAATAAAAAGAGCTGAGGAGGTAGGCTTAGTCGTTAAGCACCCTGGTTCAATCCCCAGATGGCGGGAAGAAAAGGAGGGGTGGTGATCAATAATCAATAACATTTTGAACCAAGACTCAATGAGAACAAAATGAGAAAAAACTCAATCAACTTGGAATTTAATAACTTCGAAAATGTATTACTAGAATAGTCCTTTTCTTAACATACTCCTAGAGATGATTAGCTTTCATCCTTTAAGAATGAGCCAAGTTAATCACTCATAATATTGGCACATACTTCTAGACTTTCCTCATTTTTTATTAAGTTACTTATTTTTTACAATTCTAGGGATGGAAGCCAGGGTCTCACACTTACTAGCAAGCATTCTACCACTGAACTATATCCCCAGTCATCTCTCATTTTAGATTGCCTCAAAAATTATTTTTTGATAAATATAAACAAAATTACAATAAAAATATTTTCTTAATTTATTTCAAAATAATTACTCAGCACTGTTAACAGAATGTTATCTAAAATACTGAATAATTTTAACAATGCTATCATTTAAGATACATAAAATGTATTTACCTGATTTGTCATAAGTGTGGAAACACAACTATAAAATGCATCCAATTTTTCAGGCTTAATGCCTTCTAGTGACTCCTTTTTGGTAAAGAGACTTATAACCTGTGGATACCATGTGTTCATTATCTTCTCTTCTGCCTTTTTAGCTTGAATGGACAGATCAGTTTTTAGTGATTCACAATCAATTGGGCCTTTAGCTCTATTTTTGAGGGAAAAAAATATCTATTTTGAAGCAAAAGACATTGGTTTTCATACACAATTATTGATGACAATTGTTTTTAGTTCTAAAATCTAAAGAAATGTTTTGAAGAATTATGAGTCAGTTTAAAAATTATACAGTCAAAATGTCAAGCAAGGAGACATTTAGAATGATAATTAATAAATATAGGATTTTACCTAATTCCTGTTACATCCAGCAAAACTGTATTAGCAAATGTTGTATAACCAAGGTCCAGTAATATTTTCATAGTTGGATGAACAATGTGCAAATCAGATGCTATTTGATTTCTTGCCTGCACATAGTTGTAATGCCAAGGATTGGAATAATCTAGTCCTCTAAAAAGCAAAACACCATGTCAAATATAATTAAAACAATATACCCTAGTGCTTCACAACAGTAGACGTGAATGTAAAATCAGTTCATTTTCAAACAGTGTAAAAAAAACTAGATGTAATACTACTTTTAAAAATATTTTACTATGTCCATGCATGAATATATGAATAAATAAATTCTGATATGTGCACAAAAAATAGGAAAATAGATAAAGTAAATGATTTACTCACAGAGGGGATTCAGGTAAAGGACCTCCTTCATCTTCAAGCCATTTAACTGGTGGTTTCACAAGAACACTCTGTACTAAAATATATGTTTGTATTAATATTTCTTGAAATCCTTGCAAGACCTGTTCATATCAAAATCTCTGATTTGGGTTATGGGATGGTAGTTTACTATGAATTAAAATGAGCATAAGAAAAAAAACTTTATTTAGAACAAAATCAAGCTCTTTGGTGGGGGGGGTGGGGGGGTGGGGGTGGTACCAGGGATTGAACTCAGGGGCACTCAACCACTGAGTCATATCCCCAGCCCTATTTTGTATTTTATTTAGAGACAGGGTCTCACTGAGCTGCTTAGTGCCTCGCTTTTGCTGAGGCTGGCTTTGAACTCTCCATCCTTCTTTCTCAGCCTCCCGAGCCACTGGGATTACAGGCATTCACCATCAAATTCAGCAAAATCAAGCTCTTAATACTATTTTAGCCATAGTATGGAGGTAAATTCAGTTATAGGAAAACTCTTAATTCTCAGTTCTTTGTGTTGTCTACTCAAAGGTCCCTGATATGGCCACTTAAGAAAACTTATGGCATGGTACTTAATAGGGCTGGAGGGAAAAGGGGCTGGGGAGATGATGGTTCAAAGATATAATATTTCAGTTTTATAGGAGGAATAAATTCAAGAGATCTATTGTACAATATGGTGACTATAGTGAATGACATGTATTGCACTCTTGAAAAACTGCTAACAAAGTAGATTTTAAGTATTCTTACCATACACACAAAAAAATAAAATCATGAGAGGGCTGGGTTGTGGCTCAGTGGTAGAGCGCTCGCCTAGCATGTGGAGGCCCTGGGTTCAATACTCAGCACCACATAAAAATAAAATAAAATAAAGGTATTGTGTCCAACTACAACTAAAAATTAAATATTAAAAAAATCATGAGTACATGAGGCAATACATATGTTAATCAGCTCAATTTAGCCATTATTCAATGTATACATATTTCAAAACATGTTGTACATGATAAAATATACAATTTTTTTCAATTAAGAAAAAAATATTCCAGGGCTGGGGTGGTAACACAGTGGTAACAACGCCTATATAGCACCTGTGAGGCACTGGATTTGATCCTCAGCACTACATAAAACTAAATAAATAAATAAAACAATGGTATCGTGTCCATCTATAACAAAAATATTTTTTTAAAAAGAAAAATATTCCAATAACAATCATAACGATTAAATTCCTAATAAATCTGCCAAATACATTAATATGTTCTGAAAACCCTGTAAACAGGAAAGTTAAAATCAAAAAGGCAAAGTTAAAAAATCAAAACTCTACAAGGATTAGCTAATAAACACAAAAATTACAAAAAGTGCCCTTAAAGCTACAAAGATTTTGACTATATTATGGGCACAAAATAAAACTTTCAGGGCTGGGGTTGTGAATCAGTGGTGGAGTACTTGCCTAGCACATTTGAGGCACTGGGTTTGAGCCTCAGCATGACATAAAAATAAATAAATAAAGTAAAGATATTGTGTCCATCAACAACTAGAAAAATTTAAAAATTAAAAAACTTTAAGAAAAATTCATATTTGAAATTGATAATAGTTTAAATATATAGTGTTCCCTATTTATTTTGCTTCTACTTTTGGTTCAACACCAGAAGCAAGGGCAAAAGAAGCTTGATGTGTTACTTACCCAAATATCTCTTCATGCTTTTTTCAAAGTCACTTGACACCTCATCTATGAGACTTTCAAGCAGTTCTTCTCTTTTTTTCCCTTCCTTTAAAGACTCAGGTATCAGCATTAACATGTTATCCAGCCATTCCTGCTGAATAGGTACTATAGGACTACTTTTTACACAGTGCTTCATAAACATGTAGTTGAACTGAAAACGTAATAAGAAATATTAAATGTTCTTCATGGTGTGACATTTCAGTATAATTCCTGAGCTCAAGCCTACTAAAACATGTTTTTCAGAATAAAAATATTCGTAGCCATGCAAGGTGGCATATATCTATAATCCCAGCTGCTTGGGAGGCTAAGGAAGGAGGATTACAAATTCAAGAATAACGCAGCAATTTAGCCAGACTCTGTCTCAAAATTAAAATGAAAAGGGCTGGAGCTGTAGCACAGTGGCAGAGCACTTTCAAGAGCTTTAGTTTAATTGCCAGTACTGAAAAAAAAAAATGTCAACAATAACATGTTTTCAGAATAAAAACCATTTAAAAAAAAAAAAGCGTCACAAACATTTTATCTTTTTTTTTTATGAGCTCTTGTCAAATTAATGTTCTTAGTACATCCTTCATTTTCTCAAGCTAAAAAGAAGCTCCTTTAACTAATTTATTATTACTTAATTCAACAAATACTCAAAAACTGTTGTGACTACTGAGCTATGTATTAAACATAATGACTAATTAGAACAAATTAAAAAATTTTAAAGTATTAAACATAATTATTAAAAATGTGGAAAAAACATAACAGTAGCCTATGCTCTCTTGAATGTTATATTCTGATATAAGAGTAGTATAGTCTAATTTCACAAATTCTTCCATAAGAATGAGGAGTCTAACAAAAAATATTCATAAATAAATGGAAGACAACATTTAATCTCAGTAAAGGCATTTAATGTCCTAAAAGAATATCAATTTTGTGTTCCAAAGTTAACACAATCCAATAAAAATATCTATACACATTTTAATAAAACTAGATAACTTGATCATAAAGTTCTTGTGGGAAAATAAACATATAAGAATAGCCAAGAAAACTCTAGGAAATAAGATCTACCGTGGAGGACTGGCCCTGGGAGACATCAAAACATACTATAAGGCCTATGTGATTAGAACAATAAGACAAAGGTATATGAGCAGACAGGCCAGTGGAAAAGAATACAAAGTCCAGAAACAGAGCAGTATATCAGAATATTTAACATAAAATTATCATTGCATCTCAAAGCAGTGGGGCAAAGATCAAGGTTTGAATAAATAGTCCTGGGACAAATGGTTAGTCATTTGGAAAAAGATAAATTAGTCCATACCTTCTACCATACACAAGAATAAACTTCAAACAGATCAGAAATTTAAATTCTACATTGAAACTACACAAGAAGAAGAAGAAAAAAAAACATGAATCAAGGGGCTAGGTTTATACTTCAGTATAGAGTGCTTTGCCTAGCACATGTGAGGCACTGGGTTCGATCCTTTACACCACATATAAATAAAATAAATGTTCCATGTCCATCTACAACTAAAAATATTTTGAAAAAAAAAATCAAGTTTATAGCTCAAGCATAGGGAAAAACTTCTCAAGTATGATTCAAATTTCAGATACAATCAAGAAAAAAAGTGATAAATTTTGCCATATGAACCCAATGCTTCATGCACTCCCAGCAAACACTCTACTATGGAGCCACATCCCCAGCTTTGTGATAGATAAATTTTGACTATATAAAAACATCTGCAAGGGCTGGGTGCAGTGGGGCATGCCTGTAATTCCAGCAGCTTGGAAGGCTGACAGGAGGATAACGAGTTTAAAGCCAGGCTCAGCAATAGCGAGGCGCTAAGCAACTCAGTGAGACCCTGTCTCTAAATAAAATACAAAATAGAGCTGGAGATGTAGCTCAGTGGTTGCGTGCCCCTGAGTTCAATCCCTGGTACAATAAAATAAAAATAAAAACAGTATGCAAGGCAAAAATGTCAATTAAAAAGTCAAAAATACTGGCACTCCAGGAAAAAATATTTGCAAGATACACCTCAGATAAAGTACAACAAATTCTTGGAAAATTTAGGATATGGGTGAATCTTGAAGACAGTGTTTTAAGTGAATCAAGATAATAATGAAAAGACAAATACAGGGTAGGGAATATAGCTCAGTGGTAGAGCACATGCTTATTAATATCGGCAATCACCAAAAATATAGACAAATATTGTATAATTCCACTTATATGAAGCATCTAAAGTTATTAAATTCATAGAAAAAAAGAAGGGTAATAACAAGAGGCTGAGGAGAGGATGAAATGGAAGGTTATTATTTAATAATATATAGAGTTTGGGTTTTACAAGATGAAAATGTTCTGGAGATTGGTTGCATAACAAGGTAAAAAGGCTTAATACTACTGAACTATATTCTTAAAACGGTTAACACGGTAAATTTTGTGTTATGTGTATTTTACCACAATTCATAAAGGGACAATAAGTCCAAACTCACAATTAAAATGGGTAAAACAGGGGCTGGGGTTGTGGCTCAGAGGTAGAGTGTTCGCCTACTATGCGAGACTGGGTTCTATCCTCAACACCACATAAAAATAAAATAAAGATATTGTGTCCACCTATAACTAAAAAATAAATATTTTTTTTAAAATGGGTAAAACATATGTACCAACATTTCAAATATTTTAAAGATGGAATCATCTAGCCAAATACATAGTAATAGAGGAAGGGTTCCTGGGCATGATGACTGAGCTGGATTAGGGACAACCAGAAAGCACAGATGGAAAGAGAACATGTTGGGCAAAAGTAGCAGGTAAGAAATGTCCTGTTTCCTCAAGCAAGTCCATGATGGTGGAGTATAAAGTATAATATAGAGAGTGATGAGAAGAGGTTGGCAAATAGGTAAGGGTCACATTATGAAAGGCCTTGCCTGCCACATTAAGCTTTAATTTTCTAGATTGTGGTAAGCTACTGATGGTTGCTGTAGTTAAAACAAAAAATGAAATTCTGATCTAAGGATAGAACATGAATAGGATCAATTTGAGAAATAGTCACAGCCATGTGGTGACAAATTACATGGCAAGTGGGTAGTTGAAAGGGAAAAGAAGTGAATACTCAGACATTTTAAGCATGAGTGATTGATAGTGATAATAACAACTAGAACAATCTCAGGAAGGAAGGTTCATTTTTCAACATATTGAATTTGAGGTATTTTTACATAAAATTATTTTGGAATCAGCAACATATAAAAGGTAGTTAAAACCAGAAATTGAATCATCCAGGAAGATTCACAGAAAGAGAACAGCAGCTATAGGCAGACAAGGAAGAGGAAACCATGAAGATGACAGAGAAATAACAAGAGTCAGAAAAGCAAATACAAGGGAATATTCAAAAAGAAAGAAATCAGCTGGAGCCAGGCACATGCTTTTAATCCCAGCAACTGAGGAGGCTGAAGCAGGAGGATCAAGAATTCAAGGCTAGCTTCAGCAATTTAGCAAGACTAAGACTATTTGAGACTCTGGCTCAAAACAAAAAATAAAAAGGACTGAGTTGTAATTCAGTTCTAAAGTGTCCCTGGGTGGGCTGGGGTTGTGGCTCAATGGTAGAGTGTTTGCCTAGCATGTGTGAGGCACTGGGTTCCATTCTTAGCACCACACATAAATAAAGGAATAAAATAAAGGCCCATTGACAACTAAAAAAAAATTTAAATAAAAAAATGCTCCTGGGTTCAATCCCCAGTAAAAGCAGCAGCAGCAGCAGCAGCAGCAGTAATAGTCATAAACTGGAATTGTCTCTATTTTATTTTAGCTATTCTAATAGGTATGTAGGAAAAATTCATCATGGTTTTAAATTGTATTATCCTAATGGTTAATGATACTGATTTATCTTTGATGTGCTTATTTGCCCCCAATACATCCTCTATGGTGAAATGTCTTACCCAGTTCTCTATTAGTTGGTTTATTTTTATACTTTTGAATTTTAGGAGTTCTTAATATATTCCAGATTCTAGTTCTTTTGGATATGGGAGTATTTTCTCCCTGTGAGTGACTTGTTTTTCATCCTCTTAATGGTCTTTTGCTGAGCAAGAGTTTTCAATTTTGATAAACTCTTATTGGAGTTTTTTATGGATTATGCTTTTGAGGTCATACACAAGAACTCTTTGCCTAGTCTTGACATTTTTTGTCTAAAGTTTTATAATTTTATGTTTCTCCTATGTTTTCTTCTCAAAGGTTTTTTTTTTTCCTGATATTAGGGATTGAACCAGGGTCTCAGATATGGAAGGTAATTGTTCTACCACTAAACTATATCCCTAGATGTCAAAAGTATTTTTATAGACTTTATTTTAAACTGGTACCAGGGATTGAACCCAAAGGTGCTCAACCACTAAACCACATCTCCAGCCCCTTTATTTTTTAAGACATGGATTTTACTAAATTACTTAGGGCCTTGCTAAGTTGCTGAGGCTGGCTTTGAACTTGTGATCCTCCTGCCTTAGCCTCCCACACCACTGGGATTATGGGCATGCCCCACCACAACTGGTTGTGTGCATGTGTGTCTATGTGCTTATGTGTGGTACTGAGAATCAAAGGCACTGGGGAATCAAAGCCAGGGCTTTATGTATGCTATGCAAGCACTCTACCACTGAATTACAGCCCCAGACCCTATATTTTACCTTTTATATTTAAACCTATGATCAATTTTTTATTAATCTTTGTATAAGGTATGAGGTTTAGATTAAGGTTTTTGTTTTGTTTTTATGGATGTCCAATTACTCCACCCCATTTGTTGAAAAAGTTATTCTTCCTCCATTGAATTACTTTTGTCAAAAATCAGTTGGAGCGGCTGGGGTTGTGGCTCAGTGGTAGAGTGCTCACCTCGCATGCATGAGGTACTGGGTTCTATCTTCACACCACATAAATGAAAAATAAAGATATTGTGTTCACTTAAAACTAAAAAATAAATATTAAAAAAAAAGAATGCTAAATATATACACAAATACACCTTACAATTCACCCAGCCTCATGTTTGGGGGTTATGGTGTACATTCCAGTTCTTATATCTTGTAAAGAGGCACATCTAAAGTCTCCAGAAAAGTTTAGAGACAGGGGAAGAAAGGGGAAGGGCATTTAAAGAACAAAGCCTTGACTAACTGAAAAAAGAAAGGTTCTTCCATATATCCTCAACCCATAGGAAGGTATTCTCAGCCCTCTATCCTCAAAGAAAAGAAAACCTTCCAGGACTTATAAGGCTTATAGCCCCATCTGGGAACATGCAGTATAATTTCCTCTTATACATAACTAATTCCAAAAGTCTTTGTATCCTTCCTATTAAATAATATTTACATGCTATCATATTTCTGCTAATCACTTTGCAGTCCCACATCATCATCCATGCAGTCAGAGTCATTTTTTTAAAGAATCTCTAGCACCTAGTATGTATCTAGCATATATTAGATTCTTAATGAGGTATCTGTTGTTTGGATAAATAGCCATCATTATATCAATATCAGTATAATCAATTATAGCTTTAATTTTAAAATGAAGATGTATTTCCTTTAAAATTGCCACTCAGAATATTTTTTAAATTGTTTGGAATAAGAACTATTATTTACACAACTAACCCTCAAATAATAAATGACAACAAAGCGTAACTCTTAAACCCCATATTGTCACTGGGCCCCGTGGCACATGCCTATAATCCCAGCAACTCGGGAGGCTGAGGCAGGAGTATCCAGCATTCAAAGCCAGTCTCAGCAAAAGTGAGGCACTATGCAACTCAGTGAGACCCTCTCTCTAAAATACAAAATAGGGCTGGAGATGTGACTCAGTAGTTGAGTGCCCCTGAATTCAATCCCTGGTACCCCCACCCCAGAAAAACCCCGTATTATCCATGACATGCTTGTTTCCTTGGGCAGGAAAAAAACCCAAAAACCTCAGTTTCTAAATTTCTTTCTTTCCTAGGATGAGGCATAACAAGGGGTCTTAGAAAAATGACTTTGAATTAATTTATTTGAACATTTTCAAAAGAAGAAATAAAAAATTGAACTCACTCCTTTTCTTTTAATTTCACTGGTCATCTGTAAAAAACAAATAAGATAATTAAGAAGAAAATTTTTAAAAATCGAAAATATTTTAAATGTATCTATTATTTAAAATTATTCATATTGAGATTAAAATAATTAATATAGTATAAAGATAAGTATTTTTAAAAGAAAATAACTTACAGTTGGAGGATAATCAACTTCTGGTAATGGTGGTATTCGTTTATCCAATGTTCTGTCTAGATTTTTTTTGGCTCCATCAATTCTGAAATTTATAATTAGAAAAACATATAACTCTAGAAGCTAACATTAGCATAAATTATTAAAAACACTGAAAGTCTAACATTTTTTCAATTCCACTAAAAGAAAAGATATTCAAAAACTCTTTATCTGACTAAATTTTCTATGAAAAAATTATCAATGAGTCCTAAAATTTTATGTTGTTCAAGTATAAGGTAAAAGGGTGAGAGTAAAAATAAAATCAACTTTTTCAATTGTAACTTACTGACAATTTGAAAATTAGTCCCAATGCAGAGGGAATCATCTCTGTTCAAATTAATACTGTCAGAGAAGGCTTCCCTTATCTACTATATAAATAAGTACCTCTCTCTTTCACTATCTGTCTTCATTTATCTTTCTTCATAGCACTTACCAACATTTAATATATACTGTAGACTTTTTTATTCATTGCCATTATCCCCAATAAGAACAGTATCTGCTCACATATGTACTCAGTTTTACCTTAAAAACTGTGTATGGATTTTTATCATATATAAAATATAATTTCCTCTTTAAATTAATTTGTACCATATTGGATAAAAAAATTCATCTTACAACAAATATTAATACATGCAAATGGTATACTAGGTACTATTAAAATATAGCAGCAATAAATCTCTAGGAATTTATAAACTGAGTGAGAAAATAAGAGAGTGCCAGGCTGGGGATGTGGCCCAAGCGGTAGCACACTCGCCTGGCATGCGTGCGGCCGGGGTTCGATCCTCAGTACCACATACAAAGATGTGGTGTCTGCCGAAAACTAAAAAAATAAATATTAAAATTCTCTCTCTCTCTAAAAAAAAAAAAGAAAAAGAGAGTGCCATAAGGGCACTCTGGTGGTTCAGAAGAAAGATGAGTTTGTTCCACCTGATGAACATATCAGCATTTGCAATGAGCTTTAAATTAAAGAGAAGATTTCAGGTGGAGCTGTGGTTTTACTGGGATCTGAAAAACAGGAAGGCAAAGGAAGGATCAAAGGAAAAAGGGATAAAAGGAGTTGTCCAAACTGTCCAAAGTTTACGGGATGAGATGGACTTAAGTCTGGAGAAGTGGTTTGGAATATCCACCTAATGGCCTCAAATGGCAACTTTTGCATTTAATCAACAATGGGAATGACGAAGAGCTTTTGAGCAAGGAACATTTTAAGACAAACCTAACCATTTATAAAGGCCAGATACATTTTAAAAGATGACCAAAGAAGAAGACATTCAAGGAAAAGAGACCTCAGAAAGATTGGAGGATGCCAAGTATGACAAGAATTATTAAAAAACAACAACCGAGTGGGGTGCAGTGGCACACACCTGTAATCCCAGAGACTCAGGAGATGGGAGACTGAGGTGGGAGGATCTCGAGTTCAAAACCAGCCTCAACAACTTAGTGAGGCCTTAAGCAACTTAGCAAAACCCTCTATCAAAATAAAAAGTAAAAAGGGCTGGGGATGTGGCTCAGTGGTTAAGCGCCCCTGCATTCAATCCCCAGTACAAAACAAAACAACTGAAGGATGAAGGAGATACCATTAGAAAGGTAAGAGAAGAACCAAAAGGAATTTCACAATAAGTGTGGTTACGGGAACCATAGCCTGGGCATAAAGGGCCATGTCTGTTTTACTCACTATTCCAAGGTACATAAGCTCAATAAATACTTAATGAATGAACGACCAGAATAGTGGATGTGGGGAAAATATCAGATGTCTAGTTCAGTACTTTGCTTGATATGTGAACATTCTCAACAATATCAAGCTATACCCATGGTAACCCAGGGCAAGGGCTCAGTGGGGGGATGGTCAGTCATCATCACTTTCTGAGACAACCCAATTTATTATCAGTTAAATTCATTTTCTTAGAAACAAATTTCTTATATTGACTTGTGGCTTTATACGTCTATTCTCTGCAGCTATATACAAAGGGTCAGATTCTTCCATGTTACTCTTCCAAAAACTTGATAACCTGCCCAGTTCCTTCAACTACTCCTATTAATAAGAGTTACTGTTTATAGGAGCTTATTATATCCTAGGCATTGACTTAAGACCTTTACAAGCATGGATTTCATTTAACTCTCATACCAATCCTAAGTAAGCAATATTCTTTTCTCCATATTTTTTAAAAATATTTTATTTTTTAGTTGTAGTTGGACACAATATCTTTATTTATTTATTTTTATGTGGTGCTGAGGATTGAACCCAGGGCCTTGCACATGCCAGGCAAGCGCTCTACCATTGAGCCACAACCCCAGCCCCTCTTTTCTCCTTTTATAGGTAGGTATATAAGGATAAGTAAAGTTATATAACTTGTCAAATTCACATGACTGCAGAGATGGGATATGAATCAAGGCCTGAGTGATGTGAGAGTCTATATTCTCACCAATTAAGTAAATTTTGTGGTTTCAAATTTCCTCCCTCCTCTGGTTTATCAATGTCTCTCTTAAAATGTGATCCCAGGATCCCAGATGTTGAAAAGTACAGAGTGAATTTTTCCTCTTCCCTATACTAGACATTCTACATTTATTAAAGCAGCCTAAGACTGCATTTGCTTTTTTGAGTACCCTTACCACCCCTATTGAATCTTACTGAGCCTGTACTAAACTCCTAAGACTTTTTAAAAATATATTTTAGCTTACACATAGACACAATATCTTTATTTATTTTTATGTGATGCTGAGGATCAAACCCAGTGCCTCACATGTGCAAGGCAAGCCACAACCACAGCCACATCTTAAGACTTTTTTGACATTAAGTGGAAAATACTCCTTTTTTTTTTTTTTTTGGATACTGGGGATAAAACCCAGAAGCTCTTTACTACTGAGCCACATCCCCAGTCCTTTTTATTTATTTATTTATTTTTGAGACAAGGTCTACAGTAAGTTGCTTAGGACTTCACTAAATTGCTGAGGCTGACCTTGAACTTGCCATCCTCTTTTCTCAGCCTCCTGAGTTTCTAGGATTACAGATGTGCACCACCACACCTGACCCTCCTCTTTTCTTTGTTAATCTTCAAGACCCTTCTTCATTTCTCCCTGAATAGCCTAGATTTCAGCAATTGCTACTTTCAAGGAATGTTACTTATACATTGGTATGCTAATTGGCATTTGTGTAGGCAGGCTTGCACTGTAGTTAGCCCAACATAAAGATAAATGCCAATTTCCTTGAACTTTCTATATGAAAATGCCACATCTTTTTTTTTTTTTTTAAAGAGAGAGGTGAGAGAGAGAGAGAGATAGAGAAAGAATTTTTGATATTTATTTTTTAGTTTTCGGCAGACACAACATCTTTGTTTGTATGTGGTGCTGAGGATCGAACCCGGGCCGCACGCATGCCAGGCGAGCGTGCTACCGCTTGAGCCACATCCCCAGCCCCAAAATGCCACATCTTAATAAAGCAACAATTTCTGGAACATGTTTTCTCCTACTGTCTATGAATAAAAAGAACTGGGAAGGACATAATAATGAGCTTTTTACTCCCTGTTTTTGCTCTGTATATTAACAATTTAAAAGTAATAAACAAAAACTGGATTTCACAGGACTGTGGATGACCACATGTGGTAAAAAAGAGAAATACTGGTTTAATTCAAGAAAGGAAGTAGTAGCTAAGGAAGAAGGCAGCTCTTTCCCAGAACTTGGGAAAGGTATGAAATGATGCTGACTCATCGATGTGGGTCTCAGGAACTGGTACCAGCAGCGGGCCCAATTCTGCTTAGAATTCCTTACATTCTACCTCACCCTGGACTCTATTCCACAAACCTCATCCCATCTTTGAAACAAGCTTGCATTCCAATTGTCTAATTCTCCAATTGTCTAATATGAGGAAATAGAAAATCCCAAAGCTGTGGCCATCCAGAAAGACATGTTTCCAGCATTAAAACTTCCAATTCTAAATGCTTTATTCCCAAAGAAACATATGGCAATTCTAAGTCTGATATTAAATATGACATTATACTTCAGAAAATTTTGAGGCAGTATTTTTTGATTAAGCAGCCAAATAAATGTGGTACTATTTACAAATCTGTATAAAGCACAATCACATTCATTCACCAATAATAACATACCAAACACTATGTTTTGTGTTGAAATTTCTCTCCTTAAGCATGTGAGAGTTTAGTGGAAGAGAAATACTACTAGGAAAAAAACAGCAATGCTCCCTGTAATTCTCTTTTCTGTTGCTTTTCCTTCTGCTTTATCAGTCATATTTAGTTTCCCTTGCCCCACACTGCATCTAATTCCTAATACCTCAGCCCTAGGTTTTTCACTTCATATTTCCCTCAACCCTCTGCCTCTTCCTCCTTCTTCCCCCTTTGGCTCCTCCTCCCCTACCCCCATCTTAGTGATTTTCAATCATTCCCCTATCTTTAAAAATCGTCTAAATGTTGGTGATCCCCAAATTTCTATCTTCAGCCTAGACTTCTCTTACTAATATCAACTTCCTAATAACATTTTCCCTTAAATTACATAGGCAATTCAGCTCCAAAAGTGAGTTAATGTTTTTTTTTTTTTTTTACCCCCATCTCCTGGACTTCCAATTCTCTATAAATGACACTACCATCCACCCAGCTAATGAAGCAAATCTAATAGCAAGTCCTACTGACTCTGGTTCCAAAACATAGCCTCGAAAATCTTCTCTCCCAAATTACCATATGCTCTCATCTATGCTACTGTGATAGCATCTGACCTGGCTTCTTTCCTTTTACTCTAGCCTTCTTCTCCACCACTCTGTATATTCTTAATAACTGGAATGTTTTAAATGTAAATCAGATTTCACATTCATCCCCATTTAGAATATTTCAACAGCTTCTATTACACTAAAAAGATCTGAGTTCATTATCATGGCCTATAAAACCTCATGCAATTTGCCCCACTTTCTTCTCTGTCTTCACACCACTCTTCCCCAGACTTGTGATACTCCAGTAATACAGGCATTTGTCAACTGCTGCAACAGACTAAAACATTCATATTTCAAGGTTTTTGTGGCTGCTATCACCTTTCTTAGAGTGCTTTGCTCCTGCTTATTTGAGTGACAGGTTTCTTCCCATTGTTTAGATCTTTACTTAAATATTATCTCCAGAGGCCTTTCCTGCAGTGTTCCTGGGAACACCTTCCCTGTCTGTATATCTCATTATCTTACTTCTTCATAGCATCTATCACAATCTAAAAAAGACTAACATAACTTTTTTTTCTTTACTCATTTACTGTCTCCTCCCACTAGTATACAAACTTCTTAAATGCATATAGTTCCTTTTAAAAAATATTTTGGGCTGGGGATGTGGCTCAAGCGGTAGCGCGCTCGCCTGGCATGCGTGCGGCCTGGGTTTGATCCTCAGCACCACATACAAACAAAGATGTTGTGTCCGCCAATAACTAAAAGAAATAAATATTTAAAAAAATATATTTAGATGTAGTTAGACATAATAACTTTATTTTAATTATTTATTTTTCTGTGTGGTGCTGAGAATTGAACCCAATGCCTCACACATACTAGGCAAGCACTCTACCACTCAGCACAGTTCTTCCCTTGGTGTTTTTTATGATCTCCCTAGGAGCAAACACAGCATCTGTATAATAGCAAGTACTTAATATTTCTAAACACCCCTGAATATTCTAAATTGAGGTTAGAAGAAATAAAAATAGGTGTAAGGAAGGACAAAGAAATATAATTTTAATTTAAAGTTCTGCATACCTTTTCAGCCCTGTCACTCCTAAATTTCTGGGAAATCCATAAATCTTAAAAAGTTACTCACTTATAAAAATTATCTTGTGCATTGTCAGCCCACTAATAAACAGATTAATAGAGAGATGACATTTTAAAAACCTATAATATTGGGGCTTTCCAACATTATCTAGGGACCACATCAGCCTAAGGATCCTGAAACTAGCCAGACTGATGTCACCCTTAAATACCTTCCCATACCCACCCCTCACCAACTTACCTTTAAAAGAATAGTCAAGAACACTGAAAATGCACCTCTCACTCTTAAGCTGGTTGATCCTCATTCTCCCTTGAATGTATACTACTTGCTTTCCTAAATAAATCTCTGTGCCTCTACTAACACATGCAGAAATTCTTTTCTGTCACATACATCAACAACCCCATTAATACTAAGTCAAGTCTCCCCCCTTCTGAGATCTCCTTGGTACACTTTTCCAGAGATATCTCTTCTCTGGTGATACAATGATTTAAGAGAAATATGTAGAGGGGATAAAGAAGGGATTTGGAGGCTTTCCAAAGGAGGAGATCCATAAATAAGCATTGAAGAATTAGTGTTAAGTATTTAGTCAGGCAGTACAGTGAAGCAAATTGTGGAGTCCATCTTTAAACTGTGAAAATAAGATTCATTCTAGAATTGTGAGTAATTCAATATGGCAATATGAGATAATGAAAAGCTTCAGAGGAAGAACAGTCTTAACTCCTAGTGAACTCCCTTTTAAGTCTTCTGAAACAATATGAGTCTTAGAAATGACGGGGATAAAAGATGTTTAATAGTACATGTATTGGTATTTGTCATTACACCTATAAATTTAGATTTAAATATGAGTAAAGATTGATGACCTAATAAAAAATTAAAATCTAAAAAAGTTATATGATTAACACATCTATTTAGCTGTAAGAAAAGTAACATAAGCCAATATTTAAATTATTAAAGTGACAACACTGACGGAGGTGGAAATTTACAACCCCTAGTGGGGGAAAAGGAAACTGAGGACTTTTTGCAATTTCCCTTATCTGCCAAAGTTCCCCTGCCTGCCAAAAGTAAGCCCACCAAAAGTATCTGACAAACTCTTCCCATGGTGTGGTCCTACTAAACCCTATAAAACTCAGACCCTTGCTATAGCCAGTCACCATTTTCCTGAAAATGTGCTCCTCCGCTGCTTAATAAAGCATTGCTGATGCATTGAGGACTGTCTCCATTTTTTTTCCTTTTTTTATTCTCTTTCATTTGCTTTCAAATATGATCATTGACAATGTTATAATAAAACCCAATCAATTGTAAAATTGTTGATAAAAGAAGCTAACAAAGAAAGGAAAGAGAATCCAGAAAGAGAAGCAGAAAGAAATCTCCCATTTAACAGGTTGGAATTTTGTTAGGTTGGAATTTTGTAAACAAGATCCACGTCTTTTTCTTCTTTTTATCCCCAGAGTCCAACAGAGTCAGGTACCCAGGAAATTCTAACTATTGAATTGAACTGCATCAGCATTATCACAGCCTTTGGTTACTGGTACCTAAATTAATTTCCACTAAATTGGGGGAGACAAGCAAGATGTTAGACTATGTTTTCTTTTATATAGAAAAAAAATTAATTACAAGTAGTTTAAAGATAATTTACTTTCTTAAGTATTTTTTCAAATGAAATGCTATTTTTACAGACCCAATTATTTGGTTTACCAACTTGAGAGGTAGAATAGTATGGTGCTTCAAGTATGTGAACTCTAGAACCAGACCACCTAAGTCTCAACCCCAGCTATGCGACCTTGGGCAAATTACTTAACTTCTCAGTACTTCAGTTTACTCATCTAAAAAGTAGAAATAATAGTGCCTACCTTATTTGGCTGTTGTGAGAAATATAAGTGAAAAGAACAATATCTGAAAAAGTAAGCACTATATAATATTAGCTATCATTATGATTACTTTTTAACTGTTTTCCTGATAGTATCTTGCCTGTAAACAACCTACAATGCTTAAAACTTTTTTATGAGAATATGAACACTAATCAGTTCACTTGAATTCCAAGCAAGAATTAATTACTGATATGCTACTTACACTAACTGATTGATGGTCTTCTGCTGCTCCTTGGATCTTTTGTAGTTTAGCAGCTTACTTTGTTGTGGTGTATCAACCCCTATGTCTTCTGGGGGATGGACAATAGGGGGTAATTTCAAGTTCAAAGCCTCCTTTTCTGCTTCAATGGCAGCTTTGTTTGGATCTGACATCTTGTCCCCTAAAAATTAAAATATACTCTGAAAAGTTCCATATAGCCATTATTGTAAAAGCAAGCCTCAATATATTCATAACATCTCAAGACCAAAATAAAATTCTACACCCTTTTAGATCTCATCTCCCTCCCAAATATGAGACAGAGGGAAAGAGGAGAAGAGTGTAAGAGAGAGAGGCAAAGTAGGGGGAGAGGACGAGTGACAGGGGGAGAAAAAGAAAAGAGACTTCTCCTCTGGTGAAAGTAAAGAGGTAAGGAGGGGTATCCTCAGGCATCTCACAGGCTCCAGGTCCAGTAACTGGTGAACAGCAATCCTCAACCCAGTGTTAGCAATGTTGTCGCCATAGAAACCCTGTGGCCAATGCCAGAAGGGCTGAATGAAGGTTGCCTGGAGAGCCTGTTGTGAAGCACAACAGATTTAGATCACCTGTCACAACAATAATTCCCATTATTCAAGTAAATGGAGGGTGAGTCAGATTACCTGTCTTTCTTCGAAAAGGGTTCAGAAAATCAGGACCTTCAAACTCGAAAAACTGTGTGACTGGAAATTTTAATCCGCTAGAAAATAAACAGGTTTATATAAATACTTACTCTCAGAGGAGAATCAAGTCTTCAAGTGTCCCCATAGTTCGGGGAGCTGTGGCGCATGCCTGTAATCCCAGAGATTGGGGAGGCTGAGGCAGACAGGTCACAAATTTGAAGCCAGCCTTAACAATTTAGCGAGATCCTGCCTCAAAAAAATTTTAAAAGGGCGGGGAGGGAGTGGCGCTTTACTCAGTGGTAAAATGCCCCTGAGTTCAATCCCAAGTCAAAAAAGAAAAGAAAAAAAATCAAGTGTACCCATAGTGACTTGTAAATATTACAACTAATCAGCAATATAATTTATCTTGTTTTTATATTTGCTGTTAGTTTACAGTAATTTCAGGAAATCTTGCCAAAATCAAATAGGTAAGGTGTGAACTTTGTATGTCTGGAAAGCAAATGTGAAATGTTGCAATTGGAAGCTGCACAGTATATACTCCCTCTAAAGAATAGCATACATGGGGCTGGGGTTATGGCTCAGCGGTAGAGCGCTTGCCTAGAACATAAGAGGCCTTGGATGGGTTTGATCCTCAGCACCACATTAAAAAATAAATGAATAAATTTTAAAAAGATATCGTGTCCAACTACAACTAAAAAATTTTTTTAAAAAATTTTAAAAAGAACAGCATACATGATTAGTCTATACCTAAACAAAATCAGGGTTGTGTGACTGGCATAGTCATTTGACAAACCTTTGAGTACTTTCTCTGTGCCAGTCACCAGGTTTAAAAAAAAAAAAAATTAAATGAGGGTATAGCCTATCCTGCTGAGGCTCAGACCCTGGGAAAGAGATTCAGGATCCCAGCAAATGAAGTAAGATGCCATTGGTAGAGTAGTCATGCTGTATTTGGAAGCAACAGTAGCCCCAGCCTGATTTCAGCACCCTTGAGTCCTTTCATAGGCCTTTTTTATATGCAGACCAGACAAAGAAGGCACATTGCCAATGAGTTACATAAGTGAATGCATGCTCACAAGCACTGTTTATGACCTTGAGTACATATGCTGAATCAGACTATGACTTTAGCTATATCTAAAAACAGCCTGCCAGAAGCCTTAGTGAAGAAGCCTAACTATAGCCATCTTGGGCCGTCCCTACACAGCCTTACACTATTATGTCTGACACACAGTAAGTGCTCCAAAATGTCATTTAAGTCAGTGAATGACAAAATAGAATGCCCTGATAGTTTTTTTTTGTGTTTGTGGGTTTTTTGTTTGGTTACCAGGGTGTGAACCCAGGAGTGCTTTGGCACTGAGCAATATCCCCAGCCCTTTTTATATTTTTATTTTAAGACAGGATTTCACTAAATTACTTAGGGCCTCGATAAGTTGCTGAGGCTGGCCTCAAACTTGTGATCCTCTTGCCTCAATCTCCTGCAGGATCACAGATGTGTGCCACCATGCCCAGCTTGTCCTGGTAGTTTGTAAAAGCAAACTATCTTTCTGTAGAAAACAAAATACTTTTATAAGTTTGTGATGGTCTTTTGAGTGCTAATTTGATTAGGCTTAACTATACTAACTGTAGAGAAGGCAGCAATCTTTTGTATGATATGCTTTCTCCCAGTTATTCAATCAAACACTAATTTGGTGCTGCAATAAAGAAAATTTGCAGATATAATTCAAATCCCCCATCAATTGATATTAGCCTAGAAAGATTATCTTTAATGAGTTTGTCTCAATCAGTAGAATTCCTTTTTGGGGGGCTGGATGGGGGGTTTAACAGGGATTCAACTCAGGGGCACTCAACCCCTGAGCCACAACCCAGCCCTATTTTGTATTTTATTTAGAGACAGAGTCTCACTGAGTTGCTTAGCACCTCACTTTTGCTGAGGCTGGCTTCGAACTCAAGATCCTCTTGCCTTAGCCTCCAGAGCTGCTGGTATCACAGGTGCCCAGCTAGAGAATAAAAATAAAATTATATTCATTCTGGCTATAAGGGTTTTATCAGATAATTTATAAATATATCCTCCTGACTGTCTTATCAGATTTTTTTCCAGTACTAGGGACTGAACCCAAAGTCTTGTGCATACTTAGCAAAGTACTCCATCACTGAGCTTTACTCAACCCTGTCTAATCCCCCTTTTTTTTCCCCTTCCAATACTGGGGTGCTGGGGACTGAACTCAGGGCACTCTAGCACTGAACTACATACAATCCTTTTTAAAATTTTGAGACAGGGTCTTGCTAAATTGCCCAGTCTGGCCTCGAACTTGTAATCCTCCTGCCTTGGCCTCCCAAGTTGCTGGGATCAATGGTATGTGCCACTACAACTCAATGTCTAATCCTTTTCTTGATGGTATCTTTTGAAAAGCAAGTTTTTAACTTTGATAAAACCCAGTGTATATATTTCTTTTATAGATTGTGACAGTGAAATCATCTATAAAGACAGAAAATCATGAAGATTTTCTCCTATGTTTTCTTCTAATTTTGTTTACTTGGGTCTATGATCCAGTTAGAGTTAATTTGTGTATGCGGTGACAATAAATGGTATAATTTTTGCATAGGGTTAATTCTGCATATAGATCCATGTGCATTTTTGCATCCCTAGCTGAGTGACCTTGGCACCTTTGTTTTAAAAAAACACTTCACTAGCTGGGCATGCTGTTGTACGTAGACTCAGCTACTTAGGAGGGTGATGGAGAATCACAGGAACCCTCTAGCTCAAAACCAACCTGGCCAACTTTGTGAGACCCTGTCTAAATTTTTACTCCTCACACTTCAGATAGAGCCCTAATATCCACAGTATACAAAATACTCAAAAAATTAAACAATAAGAAAACAAACAACCCAATCAACAAATGGGCCAAGGACCTGAACAGACACTTCTCAGAGGAGGACATACAGTCAATCAACAAGTACACGAAAAAATGCTCACCATCTCTAGCAGTCAGAGATATTTTTATGGTATGTAACAAAACAATGATTAAAACTAAAAGAAGATTAAATTAGATCAGCTTGCCTAAAGGAAAATTGTATTTTCTAATGGAACTTTTATTTTGCATAAATAAGCTAATTTAAGATTGACTAAATTCTGCAAAGTTGCTTGAAGAAAATACTGGGGATAAGAAAAATAAATGACATTTCAAAATTCAGAATTGTGGCTCAGTGGTAGAGCACTCATCTAGCACATGCAAGGCCCTGGGTTGTATCCTCAGCACCACATAAAAAAATAAATAAATAAATAAATAAAGGTATTGTGTCCAACTACAACTAAAAATAAACATTAAAAAAATTCAGAATCACTCATGTGGGTCCTATAAACTGGAGACTTATCTCTTTCTTGCCTTAAGTCTGGGACAGGAGTCTCTGTGTTTCTCCTTTGCTAGCAAATAAATAAAATTTCTTTTTTCTAAAAACTTTGTTCTCATTTTTGGATTGGCAACAGAGCCAAGGACTGAACATGGTCCTGGTACCATGAGCAAGGACTAACTTACCTGTAGATGTATGTTATGGCTCAGAACTTTAAGAAGACAAAGAAAGACTAGAACAGTGGCATGTGCCTATAACCCCAGCAACTTGGGATGTTGAGACAGGAGGATCACATATTTAAGGTCAGCCTCAGCAACTTGGCAAGGCCCTAAGCAACTTAGTGAAACCCTATCTCAAAGAAAAAGAAAAAAATAGTGCTAGGGATACAGCTCAGTGGTAGAGTAACCTGAAAAGAAAACCAACAATCCCCAATTCAAATCCAGTCTGGTCTTTCAGGTCTTTAGGAAGATACATTTTCAAAATAGAAAAATCAAACACATTCTATTTAACAGCTTGATTTAAAATGCTATGTGGGCCTCCATTTGGATACTTGCCCTAGACCTCTCAAATAAGAGCAGGTCTTCTCATGCCTGACCTTTCCACATCCAGATTCATATCCAACTGCCTATGGATATGAGAAATAACCTCCTGGAACCTAACAAATATCTAAAATTTAATATGGTCTAGACACTCTCTTGATTTTCTTCTGCAAATATACTCTAATCCTAATATCTCCCATTCCTGTAAATGTCCTATCATTTGTTCAGCTGCTCTGTTTATTCCTGCCCTAATAATCCACTCTATATTCTGAAATCAGAATTGTCTTTTTAAACATGTATCATGAAAGTTTACTCCCCTAATTAAAATCTTCCCATGGGAGAATGGATCAACAAAATGTGGTATAACCATGCAATAGAACACTTTTCAGCCACTAAAAGGGAATAAGACACTAATACATATTACAATACAGATGAAATTTGAAAATATTCTAAGTGAAGCTTTGTGTGATGGTGCACCCCTGTAATCCTAGCGATTCAGAAGGCTGAGGCAGAGGAATTACAAGTTTAAGACTAGCCTGGACAGTGAGACCCTGTCTCAAAATAAAAAATAAAAAGGGGTAGGAATGTAGCTCAGTGGTAAAATATACCCCTAGGTTCTCCACTGTGGGGTGT